TCGTTCACAAACAATAGGAAGAGAATAGGTCCTAAGATCGATCTTTGAGGCACTCCTTGTAACAACTGTGAACTGGTGGAACAGCAGCCATTTATACGCACATATTGTTTCCTTCTGGTAAGATATGACCCAAACCACTTTAATGATAAACTAGTTATAGTTCTCACTAGAGCTGCCCCCGCCCTACAGTACCATTTTCTTTTTTTTTTTTTGAGTTGGGCTTGTTGTTTACAGTTGTGTAGTTATGACCATTTGCGGGAAAAACGTTGATACCTTGCGGCCGTGCAAGCGATCAAATCGAGATTTTTTCTGGTTATGATCTACCGAAAATACCCACATTCCCTCTTCTCCAGTCTTCCTCTATATTACGCGGGCAGTCCTAAGGTGCCTCCTCGGGTTTTTGGCCCTCTGGGGCCAAAAACCCTGCGGGGGCAATTATTGGCCCCATAAATAGATAGCTTCTTAAGTAAAAGCTCGTGATTTATCACACGTGTCACCCTTTTCTCATTCATTAAATATTCCGCAGAATTCTGACAGGCGTGGAATACGTAACCTCGTTCGTTGAAAGCTACTACCGTAATATCAGGCTAATTCTCCACGTGCAACATCTTCGGATTTAATAATCCCGCTACGTAGATTTTGGGCATCTCGAAGATATCCAAGACTCGTTCGGCGACGGTATTTGCAGCTAGCACTTTCGCACCAAGGTGCCCATTGCCTTAACCACCAAGACAGTGAGCAGCATTACTAGTTAATGAAGATGCCTTGCTCTTTTAAGACATTGTAATAGTTTATTTTACTCAGTGTTGAACGAATAGCTTTAACTACAGGTTCTATTCAAGTTCTAACAGAAATTGTAATACACAAGTCTATATATTACCATAAAAAAGTTCGGATATAACGCGCGCTGTCGTTGGTTGAGCATGCTCTATAAGAGTATAGAGCTGAGCTAAAGCTGTCACACCGTCTGCCAAATTGTACTATGTCCGACCTTTTCCGGGACTTTTCTCTAGTTTTTTTCCTTTGATTGAGAGTGAAATTTCGGAACAGGTAAGTCGGCCAATAGCAACAGATGAACCAAATAAAGGTTTGTGAACATGCCAGGCGCAGTAATTTACGTTATTATAACGTGAGCAGAGACAAAAAATCCTCAATGAATAAACAAAATGGACATTCCGAATTTTGAAGGTTTTCACATTCATATTGCAAGCTTACTTACGGTAATAAAAATTAAACACAGCTAACACTCGTGTCGTATATATAGTTTCGTGTTCAAAAACAAAACAGAACAAAACAGGAATGATAAAAAATAAAGCAGTCAACTAAGCCTCAGAAATTACATCGGCCGCCCTCTGAGAGAACAACTAAGAGCTTGCTCTGATATCCTTTCCGATGCGTTGAGTTGAAGCCAGTCAATTCGACTGGATTTCGCTGGATATTAAAGACTATAAGACTTCAGGCAAAAGTGTTAAATTTGACCTGCCGAATTACTGAGTTTGTAAACTATTGCAGAAAGTGAACTTTGATTGTTTGACATTTTTGACAACTTCAGTCTTGTACAGCCAATGGGATTATTTGAACCATTCTAACAGGAATTCTGATTAGCTTATTGTGGCGTACTTTGAGAGAATAGAGCATGATGACGACACAGTTGTTTGCTCTGGAAATAAAGTTTGTCTTGAAAATTGAAAGTAAAACGACTACGACTCGCGTTTCTTCCTGCACTTCTTTCGTGCTCTAGTCGCTTCCTGAGTGCTTTACAACGGAACAGAGAACAGTCAAGGCTTCTCTATTTGTTAAATATAAACAAAGAGATGAAACGGTTTACAATCTACTGAGACATTAACTTTTCACACCATTCTGCTTGGTCTCTTTCGAAACACGTCATTTGCGGGCTTGATGGCTCTTGCTACCTCTTTGGTAAACATGATTTGAAATCGTTCATCTCAGAAAGTTAGCAGGCCAAGTGAGCTAAATGACGAAGTATTGCTTAAATTCTTAACAAGACAGAGACTGAAGTTGCGTCATGGCCAACCTGGTTCCTCACGCATGTGCGCTGATTGTTCTCTCGCGCAAGTCAATCTCTGCCTTCGCAAACCGTTGAGCCTTTTCGTCATCCCGTGACTCGAGAACTGAAAAGAAAAACCCCTTGGTAAGGAAAGTGACATTAAAGAACTTAAGCAAAGGTGTTTTAAGACGCGAAGTATTACTGGGATAGGAATGGTATTGATTATGGCATGCCTTGACGCTAAAGCCTGGTTTTCACTAGGGACGCAAGCATAAGCGCAAGCACAAACGCAAGCATAACAGTTCTTATTTCACCGTGAAAAAGGCCTCGACGTAAGCTTAAACACAAGCGCCAGCTAAAACACAAGGATAAAAAAATTTTACCTTTTCTTGTGCTTGTGCTTGCGTTCGCGTATTCCGAGTGAGAACAAACCGCCGCACAAGCGCAAGGAAGTCTACTTTGATTATTTCTGGCCAATTATAGCACTTGCTCTAGTTTTCCCCTACGCCTGAGCATTTCAACGACATCGCTTTAGACTTTGATAACAAGTTTTTCGAGGTTGTTCGCTACTATCGAGTCTTATATGAAAAGGGGTGTAAAGATTTTAAAGACAAAAACGAAAAACACAAGCGCGAACTCAAGTTGGCAAGGAAATGGGCATGACGAAAGGTAATATGAGTGATTTGTAATTCCTCCTTAGTGAAATGTTAAGACCAATGGTGGATGCGATTCTTTCAATTCAGGATTTCTCACATCTTAAATTTTTTCATTCTAAAATGTTTCGTTAAGTTGCCAGTTTACTGCAATCTATGTTATTTTCTAAGGTGAGAAGCGAAAAGAATCGTTGAAACTATATATCCAAAATACTTTTTTTTCTTGGCTGGAGTAATTAATCGAGAGTAAAATTTCTCCCCACAGTCACCAATATCTACCAAAGTAGAATTGTAGTGAGAATCACAAATTGCCAAGGCTAAAAGAGCTTTTATAATTGTAATATACAGATCCACTTTTATTTGGACACTTCATGCTATCATGTTTTTTATCGATTGCACCAACGCAGTGAGGCAAATTCCACAGGTCTTCGAATTCCTTTGAAATTTCTCTTCAGTCATCAGGCGAACTTGGTGGTCTTACATAAATGTCTCCCAGGGCCTTCCAAATTGCACCGCATGTCTCTCTCAGAATGTGGCTAACAGTGGTCCAGCCAGGGCAGTAACTGAAAGCTAATGATTGTTGATCATACCCACTGAGGGTTAAGTGTTCTGCAGCAGAAATGGGCTCTCTCATTTTAGTAGTCTTCTTGGAAATTAGGGGCCAACCTTAGCTTCTCCTTTCTTAAAAAAGATCCCTAACCCAAAGGCATTTGTTTTTCTCCTCTTTTGTAACCGTTTTCGCTTTCTTCGTCGCAAGAATAGAAGAAACAACAGGACTCGACGCTTTTAGGTGTCTGCCGCCATATCGGCCGAGTCGAGATCAACGAAGCCTTGTAACTAGTAAAAATTTTGTGCTATGATTCTTAAGCTTATGCTTTACGACGTTCGTTTTCACTCGGCATGATTACCTCGAGCTTACGTTTGTGCCTGCGCTTGTGCTTGTGCATGTGCTTAAGTCGCTAGTGAGAACCAGGCTTAACAGATCCGAAGGAAGGTCCAACTATTGCATTTCAAACCAAACGCTGCTGTCATAAAAGGTGAAAGGATAAGAACTCTCAACTCTCGGTTGCCTCAAAAACATTTGCGCTTAAGCTCCCTGTCATAATCGTTTTCAGGCAAAAATTTCACCGACACCGTCCCTAAAAGATCAGACCAAGTGCATAAGATCAACCGATTTTTATTTCTAATCTTGATGTCTAGGTCCTGCGCGACTCGCAATTATCTCCATCACCTATGGAAACAACGAATAAATATGGGCCTGGAACTTTGTTGGGTATGGGAAAGATATCAGTTTTGCCCCATACTATTCTAAAACAAAACCTTAGTCTTGCAATCCTTAATCCTTACCTTCAAAGTACCGGCCTCCAGGCTTAGGATGGAAGATATTTCGTGTTTGTTGAGGTACGTTAGAAAAGCCTCCTTCCACAACTTCCCGCAAACCGCAGACGTTATTCAAGTTGAAGTACACGTGACCAGCAATATCGTCATTTGAAAATACGTCATAATCCATAACGGTCAAGTGTAAACAGGAACCAGTCTCTCTCAGCAACTCCGGCTCAACATCACTTAATGAGGGAATTTGACACCTAAGTATATGGCAGTAATCAGTAAAATCAACACCAAATCAAGTAATAATTGTACTTACAAATCGAACTGCTCATCGAAAAGTGGAAACAAAGTGTTCTTAATGATTTCCGTTTTTTTCATCTCCTTTCCGTAAAAATCTTCTGGCAAAAGCTCCACCGTCACATACGGATCACACAGCCCTGATGCAAAAGGATAGAAAAAGAGAAAAAAAAACTTACAATTACTAATTTTAATTACAGCTTAAAAGCAGTAAAGGTAAAGTCAACAATGGATACCAAACAGGAATAACCGACGTTACTGGCTGAAAAAGCTACTTTTTCACGTGGTCAGCTCAAGGCTGAATGCTTCTCGAGCAAAAATCTCAAAATTTTCAATAAACAAACTTTTTGTCCTGACGACACTCTTCTATTTCACTGATACTTACAGTTCGTCTCCTTCGGTATTATTTGGATAATTAAGTGAGTGACTTTGGCTGAACTTTGAATTGAGAGGTTGGTTTTAGTTAGGCATTACCTCTCATCGCTGTTCTTCATCCGTACTGAAAAGCGGAGACTACACAGTCACAGCATAACATCGAAAGTCAAAATGTAGGACCTTCAAAACGTCCAGATAAACTCGGTATACTTACCGTTAGTATCTAGTGGTGGAAGGTTCTTTGCATTCAGCACTGTAAGAAGAAAGAATGTGTTTGCACTGCTCATAACAAATCAATTGTTAGGCATGGGCTCATCTAGTTTTTAGCACACTGGACCAGATCAGGTTCGGGTTCTACCCTGACCAGGTCATTATGTCACTTGTCTCAGAGTGCCTCTTTCCACTCCTAGGTAAAACTGGGTATCAGCAGAAAGCTAGGGCTGATACTTGCAGTGGCGGATCTAGCGGAGGAACCCGGGGGCCTGCCTCTCCCCTCCCTCCTCCTTATGGGTAAAAAAAAAAAAAAGAATCTTAGACGGAAGAAAAGCTGGCAGGGCAAGCGACAAAAAAACCGCCCCCCTCCCCTTTTAGCTCAAGGTCTGGATCCGCCACTGACTTGGTGAAGAGCCAGAGGGTGCCTAAGAAACGTTAAAACCTTGGTCAGGTCAAGGAGGCCACCAGTTTCTTGATACTGAATATACAGAGAATACATTGATTGAAAAATATTCCAAAAATGCGCGTTGGATGTGAGATGACAAAGACACGTAACCAATGTCGTATCCAACAAGTGCGAAAAAAATTATTGGTTTGTCAGATTCTCACTGTTTTGATACTACAGTGGAAGCTTACTAAATTTATTTTCACGCAAAAAAATTTTCGAATCTGATTAAAACGTATCGAGAGGCACTGTGTACAATTATTATTGTTACTGGGATATTATTGACCCGTAATAGTTTTTCTTGTTTTTCTCTGTTTTGAAGAAGCGTTCGCCTTCAGCCGAAAAGGAAGGCGAAGATTAAAATGACTTTAAATGAGAAGGAAAGAAAAAATGATTATAATCTACCTTCAACTTGAAGCTTCTGGTTATTAAAATCATAGAAAGCTTTAAATGTTACGGCTCCATATTTCTCTTCGGCAGTTTCCTTACAAAGAAGCCACAACAAAGCAAAAAATGAGCTTCATAACAGTGGCAAAAACTCAAAATACAAACGATCTCTCACACTAAAGCTTTTCTGTGAATTTGAGGTTTTTTTTACTTCTTCATGTATCGAAAAGAGAGAATAATATCTAAAAGGCTCTTGACTGTACCTGTTCTCCACACCTCTCGGCAAAGTAGTGTTGGATTAACTCTGTTGTGGACATCTTGCGTAAGGCGAGGGTTTCAACCAAAATCTAACGAAACAATTTTTGCGTGGAAATTCTCTTAAAGAAACTTTCCCGTTTCGAGATATTTATGCAACTACTCTAAGACTTAATAGGTAGCGGCTTATGGGAACGTTTGCTACACTTTTCTGGCATTGATGGCGATCTTCAAAAACCCCTCCATGGGCCAAGAGTGATCGGTGAGACAAAATGTTACGGGAAAAGTCCTGAGTTTCCAGTGGATATGGCTATGGTAACAGTATGTAGAGTGCACGTGAGTTTGCAAGCTCGCAATATCTATGGGCTGTTCTTTAACAACTCCAAAACAAAGGAAATGCTGAGACTAGTTGGCTAAAAAGTGTGAAGAATTGGAATCTCAAATAAACGTAACAATGTTCGCTTGAAACACTGAGCACAACCTGTGCAAAAGTTAGGAGTCACGACATTTATAGAATTTCCAATTAAGGAAAAACTCACCAAAAGTTGAGTCGTATTCTGGGCTGTACCCAGACTAAAACAGATTGGTTGGACTGGTGCGGCGTCGGTGGGGGAGCATAACATGTTAATTTGGTTTTATTGACTGAGTTGATAACTTAAATGGCCACCGTGGAGAGTTTCTAAGCTGACGTTTCGAGCGTTAGCCATTCGTCATGGGTCTGACGAGGGGCCAACGCCCAAAAAGTAGGCTTAGAAACTATTTATGGTAGCCAGTTTACGTTATCAACTCAGTTGATTAAAGTACATTAGCTTTGAAATAACTTACTCGTGTTGAAAAAAGAATTCAGCAATGAAGAATTCAGTACATTTGGGACAATTTGAGAAGACTTGGTCTGAAGTTTTTTTCTATCGGTAACACCTTCAGTGTAGGTTACTGTTTGCGGGCTTTGTCGGAAAAGCCTCATAAGAAAAACGGTTTCTGGTTTCAACATCACTGATTATTCAACCGCTAAGGGGTAGCGTCCATAAGCACGAGATAGCAAACCATTTTGATTGCACCAATGATTAAAATCGCTTAATGTTCATGCAATGAACTAAAGAGTAAAAAAGTGAGCTGTTGTTATGCCACATGTAAATATTTCAACGGTACCTTATAGTTTCCCAGCTGCAGACGTTCCAAAGGAACCCCAACTCCATCGGCGTAAAAGAAACTCTGCACTATCTAAAAACAAAAGACAGAATTTTCCAATCAGTTGTAAAGTTGTACAAAAAAACATTACTTGAGTGATTGGAGTTTTGGAATTTCTCTTTGCTGTGTTTACACTTTACATACGCGTAACAAGTTGAGCACGAGAGAAGAAATTGCATATATCAAAGCGTATCTCAAACATTACCGAGCGACGAAATGTTAACGGGAAGATAACAAAATGATCTTATTAAATTCACAAGATATTTCCAGCTCTCCAAAAGAGGCAAGAGATACACGATTACGTCTCGCCAAGAGTCTCACCTCAAGTGCTTCGCATTGTCTTTGGTAGAAGGACGCAGTTCTCTAATGAAAAAAGAATAATGAACTCTTCATAACTTACTGAATCATAGCAAAACATGTTAAATCAAACAAATAGAAGGAAATTGTAATGTATCATCAATGACCTTACCCCTCCGTTGGCTTTAATACCATTACTGAAGTTTTCAATCACTATTTCCCAAATGAAATGGAGAATTCTGTGAACCAAGAACACAAATAACTCTCAACTAGTTCAAAAGTATCCATATTCAACAAGGAAATGGCCTTGCGAAACCAATGATCATGTAAAGGGCTTAATTCATGCCGTATGCAAACCACGAGGCGTGACAGATATGAAGCAGTTTATCTGGATGTGAACATTTTACCTGTGAAACACAGATTTGACGACGCTTGTATTCAGAACCATGAGATCATCGTCCAAGTATTTGAGTAAAGGAACCACAACCTTAAAGTGAAACAACAAAAAAATTGTCAAGTTGATATTAGCCATAACATTCAATATTCCAAATTCGATTCGAGGATCTAATCATCATCTCGTCTAAATCTTCATAAATGAAACTTACTTCTTCAGCTGGCGTGTCTTCTGGGGCACAGCACAGTTGAAAAACAAATCTCTTGATATCGACCCCCATCTATCAAGGAAAAAAAATCAAAGCAAAACAAGAGTCTACCAGAAGAACAGGGATAAAAACGAAATACAAAAATACATATGAACGAGGGAAACCAAAAGGATAGCGAAAACTCGAGAAGAATGCACTGACAAAACTATATTCTTAGAGAAGAAAGGGCACTGTTTTGATAGAGCGCAAGGGAATATATCTCAAAGACGAAAGCTTGACGGGATGTTTACAAGGAAGCGCGAAGGGCCCTTTCACGCGTCCTGGTAAACTTTTGAGCAAGCGCGACAAACGCGCTGAATAAGAAGAAAGAACACACCTTTTCATTAGTATAAAGTTAAAATGAACCACTGTATACGAACCCTGTGCCCAATGTGCTCAATAGCATCGGCAACCTTATTAAGCATGTCGTCGTCTGCACTACATAGCATATTTTCCAGAGCTGAGCGTGCATGCCTTCCACCTCTTTCACCATGCGCTGTTATCAAGGCGTTAATGACATCTTCCCAGCCCAGCTTCTCAGGCAGTTTCGATAACCACAGTCTCATGTATTCAATGTTATTCAAGGTAACACATAACTGAGAGATTTTAATAGAGAATACAAAAACGTCATACTTAAAAGGACTATCTATGAAGTTTCACGAAGTTAGCTGCCTCGTCATTCAACTTATTTTGTTGATCACAAGGATTACCACATACAAAGGAAAGAAGTGTAGGTTGTTCAAATTTCTCAAGTTATATTGTAAGTTATCAAATTTCTCTTTGAAACGTTATTTTCATAGAATAGTGTTCATTGGCATCACAATAGCGACAAAGATATTAATTTGCCAACCTTCAGTTTTGAGAGTATACGACAAAAAGAGCTAACGATAGAATGAAAAGCGATAAAAAGAAGGAATATTGTTGTTGGCCACTTTTGATCAGAGCACATGACTCAAAAGAAGCGTATCTATTCAGAGATTCGGGTTGAACATACCTGTTCACTGACGTCAAACTGAGAAGGATCCTTGTCATAATAGTTATTTTTAATCATCTTGTCGAACAGAAGATCAGCGTAGTATGATCCACTGCTACAAATTTGCTGTGGTATAAAATTTCATTTTTTGTCACTTATGTATAACGTTAGGTACATACCATTTAAACGTTGTTTTTAAATCAGAGAGATCATTTGATAAACTCCCGAAAGAGGATTACAGTATTATTCTAATCATATCGTCTCGGTGAAGTGCACCATAAGTGTTTACAGGCATCTTACTTACGTTGGTGATGTGCATGACAAACACGTAGGATCCAGATGGGTCCGGCCAAGCCAACTTCTTCCAGAATTCTCGAATCTAAGAGGAACAAAAATGGATTTACATGTACAGCGACAAAGTCAGTCAAAAAGAAGGAAGCAAACAAGTGGGGAGAGAGACACAAACCATACACCTAACTCTGTTCATATACCTGGTAAAAGCAACCAACTCCATCGATGGCTGAAGTTGAATGACTAACACTTGCATCAATCCTCAAGATCTAAATGATCAAAGTTAAAAAAAATTTTTTTTCCTTTATCGAAGTTTGAAGCTTGCGATTCCCCGGCAAGTTTTTCCCCGGTAAAGGTATGGTGGTTCATCAACCCATTGAGGATTTTCGACAATTAATATATTTTGTTATATTATGTTTATATTATATTATATCATATTATATTGTATCACTGTATGAGTAATTCCTTTTATTTCTTCTGATGTATTATAATTAAACATGGCTAAAATAAACAATAAAATAAATAAACAATATATGGTAACGGGCATCTGTCGGTTTTTTTGACAAACAATGGCGAGATTTTTTTGTCCTATGATGTAACCTTCTTGTTTCGAAATGTGCCTCACGGCGCCGGAGACAATTCACATAATGGTTGACAAAACTTTTGTCGATGACCGGCTAGATAACTACTGACTGCTTCCTGAACAATTACAATTCAGCCCTGTTTTTACTTTTGTCTCGTCACAATTTCTCATCAAACAGAAAATGTTTTGTTAGTCGCTATTTTTCTAGCTAATACTTAATTGTTCAATTCATGACGCTATGTCATTGGGAAAACTGGTAGAAGTAACATCATTATGCAAAAGAGGGGACGTGCTCGGGAGAGATGAAGGATAGAAAAAGTCCTTTGAGGTACAGAAAAATTAAGATTATTTATTCGCCTTAGTCCTGGATTTCCATTACTCCACATTAAATAGCCTCAATATAAAGGAACACGGTATTGAACCCTCTAGACTTACCTTGTCAATTTCAACTGCTCTTTTAATTCTTTCTTTGGCCTTAACTTGTGCAATATCGAGCCAACGTAAAACAGACTGTTTGAACCACCCATGATAGTCATCCAGGGCATACACATGGTTTGGCCTGAAACATAATGATTATGGAACCTTGTTATATAGGCCTGTTTCTGGCCGAGTGCAAACATTTCTCATAACGGTCGAGCAAGTTAGAGGTTAGTTTATCATATGGCATTCGGACCATGCTTGTTCAAAGGGCTTCCACCGTAAGGTATTTTCGAGGGTAAGAGCAACTCAGACAGAACATGTTTCTTCAAAGACAAATGTATTGAACTTTAAATAACTTTTTATTTAAGGGAGACCGCTCCAGAAAGGTTGAGGACATTCAAATTGAAATATTACATCAGCATCAATAGCGGCAGGTTATTGTCGAAGCAACTGGAAGTTTCTCTCGATTCGACTACGAGTTTTCATTAAACTGAAAAAAAATAGAAAAAAAAAGAAAAAAGTTCTGGGGCAAGTGGGATTAATTTAGTTCATTTGTTATGTAATTAACTTCAATGAAGCGAAGAAGAGTGTTTATAGCAGATATCTTCTCTTTATTTGTATTGTTTTTATTTGTTTGTTTATATTTATCTGTGGCCTTCTTGCTGTCCTTTATAACTTTCAGTCTCAGTATCAGAAGTGTTCACATCTTCGCGATAACAAATTTAGCTAACAAGATTTGGGCCATTTTTAGACAAAGAATTAAAGTTATCGATCTTTCCACAGATCATTTTCCGCTCTACTTTAAGAGCGATTAAGTTTACGAAAAAGGACTTTCTTTGCCAGCACTTTAAAGCGTGTCAGTGTACTAGTTCTAGAGCACTGACGATGATTTGTTTTCTTACATTGACTCTCCTATGCTCCGGTAACTAATGACTTCCTTCACGGCCAAATATAATGAAAACAGCTTCTCTCCAACAATGTCAGCGCCACCTTCCTGTTTAAGACGCTTGTTGACATTCCCCATAGTGTTGTGAACATCAGATGCAAGCTAAACAAAATAGATAAATAAAGGGGTAAGTTTCTAAAGGAACTGTGGTGCTGCGTCGGTGGGAGAGTATAGCAGGTAATTTAGTGTTAACAACTGAGTTGAAAACGAAAATTAGCCACCGTAAAGGGTAAAAAAGTTGACGTTTCAACCCACAATTCCTCCAATCGCTCTGGCGAAGGGCTAACGCTCGAAACGTCGGCTTTTTTACCCTTTACGGTGGCTAATTTACGTTTTCAACTCAGTTGTTAACACTACATTACCTGCTAAACAAAATAGAACCAACAAAAAAATATATAACATTAGAACATTTCACGATACCTTCGACACTTTTTTCTGAACCAAAGGGTTACCCAAGTATTTCTGGACGCAAAAAGGAAAATTTAAGCAAAATACTTAACAGTGACCTTAGTTAGGAGTCGACCCCTTTACGCCTAACACAACGCGCAAAACATAAGTGTCATCGACACTTTCTTCGCACATTAAATATGTTCTATGAGAAACTGAAAGGAAGAAGCGGAAAATGCTACAATTTTTTTTCATGCTTCTCCAGATCCTGACTGAAATAGTAACTTGCTTTAAGTTTCGAAACGCTATGACACATGATCTATCAATTTGTTGATAACCTAATCATTAAAGATAGAAAATATAGCCAAACAGACAAACAAACGAGAGACCAAACTCTAAATAACAAGAACCACAACATTTTTGAAAAGACAATGGGAAAAAGGATAATTTCATCACTTGCCATTAATTCCAACTGGTTGTAAACTGTAGTGAAATACTTCACTCCCGTTCTGGTGCAAAAAATAAAAACATAACTGAACGGTAGAATATTAAGTTGAAACTTATGTTTTTGGTTTCTTCAAAATGGCCCCTCGATAGTTTTATCGTATCATTCATTCGCCTCCATTCCCTTTCAGTAGCCACATCATTGAGACTAGAGACTATTCTCGCACGAAAGATTCGTAGCAAAAAGGATTAGAAAATTTTGCTATTCTGGCCCTTTTCACCCAATTCACGACGTTAGATAACCGTTCAAATTGACACAAGTTTGCGTTTCAGTATGACCCGAACATTAAAGGGGGAAAGGCGTGCAAAACCTTCTTTGCATGTTCTCGGTCAACTGAAATTGGATCTCTCTATGCATTTCCCAAGGTTGTCGGTTTTCAGATTTCAAAATCTTAACTTTGCCACGAGCCACTACAAACACTTTAAAAACATAAATTGCGTTGTGTGGATCGCAGCTAAACCTTCAATGAACACTAACACTGCGAATATCTTTCTGTAACAGGCCTTGGCTTGAAACATGTCTGTTACTAGAGATTCAGCAACATCCACCATAGCTGATAGCATAGCCTCTTCGTTCTAAAGAGCAAAAATAAACGTAGTCAAATTTACAACGAAATCTTAGCATGGTCAAAACCCCGTATACAAATTTTTCATCTGAACAAGTAATCAAGCACTCTTTTGAACAAAATCAACTTATTTCGGAAAACATGTCTTATTGTGTGAACAGCATGTACAGTGAAGCCACATGTTGTCCACATGCTACCAGAACTTACTATGAAAAATAATGGTGAGAAAATAAGCCATGAATGGCTGTTTGGCATTCATCACAACGTGAACGCGTCCCATAGCTAACAAGATGGCCTTAGGGTTTCCACATAAAGAGATACAATCAGGTGAAAGCATGAAATCAAGGAATAGTGAGTTGAAGCCACAGAATGATAGAACAAAGATTAGATGGAAGTGAAAAGAGGTCTCTTCCATCGAAACAAACAAACAAACAAATAATAATAAACACAAGAAAAAAATTGCGATGCGCCTTCATATAGAAGGCTTACGCGTGGAAGAATACTGTCCGATTCCCACTTACAAGATGAGCGTCATGCATCAGGACGATTACTAGTCTCAAGCAAAGTGCAAAGTTAACCAAACCTACGTTTTGAGTAGAATGCATAGTCGACACGGGGGAAGAAATTAGATACAAGCTGGCCACGTTTGCGTGATCAGGATTAAATGTAAGGAGAATAGTAAGAATCAAAAGTAAGATTTATATGAGTAAGTGTTTCACAAAAGAGAACGGAAGCTCAAACCCCATGATAATTTGCATAAGTTTTGGTCGAAAACATCAGTTCTGTTTAATAATAGTGACTGTAAATTGAAGTTCCAGGTGACAGTTGGATGCGAAGTCAATATTAGCTTCAAGCTCTCCTCTTCTACGCGAAACTGCCGAAAACTGGCGGTTTTTTTTTATTGTTTGGTAATTGTGTAATAAACCCTGATCCTTGTCCGTGGAATTGAGGATTGACACGCCCAACGAATAAATGAAAATGGGTTTGCCCTTTTCCTGCTTCTCGTTGCATCTCCATCAGGTTGGTGACAGAGAACTTTGATGAAGGAGTAGGAATTCACGGCGAGCATAGTTGGTGTCTTTATTCTAGGAGGGAATACCTTGACAAAAGAGCCTAGATTTTATTTAGATAAGGCTGAAATATTTTCTGCGTTTGACTCTGCTTTATCTTTTTGCACATTACTGCGCCAAGGGCACGCACCTTTTTCTTTACTTAGGCAAAGTCTGTGATCCAGACGAAACTCGTTTGGTTTTGCCCTAAGTCCGCAATTAGTGTGATTTTGACGGAAACAATTTTTGCCCCGCAACCTACGATAACCCCCAAAATAACGAGCTATGGGCAGGTTTTATAAGGATAAAACAGTACAACAATCAAGGCTCAAAAGTTTGGGGAACATACCTTTGTCTGAGGCTCCTTCCATGCATACACTTTCTTGTACCAAGCAAGGGCTGATTCCTGTATCAAAAGTTACCGAGAGGGGTAAACAACATATGTACAATTAAAGGTTATCAGTTGCCAGTCAGCTTCTTTAAAGAAGTTCAAAACTTGTAAGGTTGAGTTTTTTCATAGCACCTAAAACTTATCAGAGGATGCCCTCTAAAACGGATAAATTGCTGCTCTCACTCACCTTAAGCAGATTTGACATTTGAACATTCAATGGTTCCTTAATTGAATTCTTGAAAACTTCGAGCTTGTATAAATTTGACAAACACCTACAAACAAACAAACAAACAAAAGAAACGTAGCACATCAATGGTTGTGGCCGCATCCAGGAAGAAGATCTATAATGGAAAAATGAGGTGAGTTCGTACGGTAGGATAAACTTACTCCAGTAAATTTATCAAGCGACTGAGCTTTCCTTTATCTGTGGCAGGGAAAACGTCTCTATATTTTATCAATAACCTCCAACAGTTATCTGTAAATATCTTTAACGACTTGACCAATGAATGTTCCTGAAACATGTAGAAGCAAGATGCAGGTTATCGCATAATAATTTACAAGTTTCAATCACAGCTACAACCAATAATAGTCCGGGTTCAGCTAAGTAAAGAGCTTGAAACTAGTTTGAAATTTATCCTAGAAAAAAAAGCATCTCTAAACCTAAGTTCCACAATTCTAACTTTGTTTTCCTTACACTCATTTTTACATGTACCTCTCGTTGGCTGAGTGCCCCAGTTTTCCATTCCTTCTTTAGAGTGCTCACTAATACGTTTAAAGAGCTGTACTTCATTGGCTCAAGCCAGTGATGGTGACTGAAAAGCATCCAGCGACTAAAAACATGTAAAAATTTAATAAATCAATGAAAATAAGTGATCTGAAAACTTGCTTCTTCATATCACATTTCTTCTGTAAACAAAAATAGTAGTGATAGTTTTAACTTAAAGGACACTTGGAAACATCACTCTGTCAGTTGTGCACAGTCTTTTCAGTCAGTTGTAAAATTTAGTCTTTACGCATTTATAGTCGCCCAGTTCTAAACTTCACGCGTCAAGCTGTGCCTCCCACACATTTGGTCTTGATACTCTGACAGGTATGCGGGCTAATCCCTTTGGTTGCAAAAAAATTATTCTGCTCGTTTTATGCACAAATTCGATCGGTTGTAAACATAGTAATATGTCAGTTCTATGCACTCATTCGGTCGTTTGCGGGAATTACTCTTTCAGTTACACAGACTTACACGGTCACTTGTAAAAATTACCCTTCGGTCGGTTTTACTACCTAGCAAATGTTTATATTACATAATCATATTAATTCTGCTTTCTGATTTAGCGACCAATGCATCCCATGTGAACATCTCTTGGTACCTCATTCGTTTGTGCCGGGAAGAAATAGAATAAGGCAAAGAAATTGTAAAAATCAACTAATAACTCACATGCTGACTTGTTGAAGATCGTTTAACTCATTCTGTAGAGCATGTTGATGAAGAATGAACTCCGCTTGTGGACAGAGCTCAGTTGAATTTCGTTTGCTGTCAGTGTCCTATGAAAGTTCAAACACAGACGTTTCGCACAACATATACGCGTTCCAATTTTCAAACGACAATATCAATAGTAAGACCTTTCATTTGGCCAAAACATTTGGATAATTAAGGTATTATTTTAAGCATATTTCAATCGTTTGGAAAATACAGCTCGTTTTATGGGCAATTTAATTCACAATGTAATTCTTCCTTTAAAAAATACTTAAAACAAAGATTTCACTTTACTCATTCTTTTCATCTAAATCTTTGTAAGAATCATTAATAATAATTGCCGATACCATTGTCGTTATCTTCAAAACTAAAATTCAGTTATTAATAACTCATTTCAATGTGTAATTACTAAAAGGATACGACGTGGCTGTAAAGGTGGGGCCATGCCACCCACTCTGAAACGCGATAACATCACAGCAGCAAAGTATTTTCAAAGGTCCAGACCTCTCCATTATCTTACGTGTGTTAGGAATATAATTCAGTCCACAGCTAGTGCATTACTACACACTGATATTACAATACAATTTATTTTACGTCAGTAACGTAGGGGTGGTTACCCAATCCCCCGAGCCAATGGCTCATGTTGAAGACTTACACTTACATTACTACAAATTGATTATAAAGGAAGAAAAATATCATGAAAGCTAACCTGGTAGTTTTCACAGTCATAATGAATAAATTCTCTTAAAAGCGCACCATGGATATCCAGGGTTGTTGGATAAAGATGCTTGATTTCATATGGAATGTCAGGTTTCTTGAGAATAAAAATGAGTGCAAGATCATCTCAGCAATATATATAGGGTGTATTGTTATAATTATAAACAGGGTAACAAGCGAATTTTAAGCGAGTTGATAATTTCAAATATGAGTCTTTCATATGGCAAGTGCTGTAAAGCCACAAATGATAACATCTCCCATCTCATTGGAGTATCTAGCACCTCTGCACAAAAGGTGTCATAAACTCACTAAGTAATAAATCGCTATATCCCTTAATCTGACCGACAAGACTGTTGGCTACATTTGGCAACATTCTTCGCGACTTTGGTTAAAAATAACACTCTTTTTTAGATCTTTTCTCTCTTTTTTTCTAACTCTAGCAATCCAACTTTTTATTGTATAAAGGTTCAACCACATTCACTCGATATGAAAAGGTCATTCCAACCGTAACTTTGCGGAAGAAATATTGTTGGAGAATAAATTTCTGCCAAACTGGCACAAAGGTCGCCATTAAAGAGAATGGGCAAAACAATATAATGAAATTACCGTATTAATCAAAACTATTACAAAACTCTCGAACGTGATAAGATATAGCCCGACAGACAGATACCAGCCCGATTTGAGCCGACTACTTGGACAGTGTACGCGTCATCCTTGTAACTGGACAGTGTAATAGGACAGTTAACACGAAATACCTGTGTAGGTGGACAGAACGCTTCATGTACACGCTGTTGTCTCGTATTTGGCCGAGTTAACTGTTGCTTTTTTGTGAAAACGTAAACCGATGTCTAGTTTCTTTCTCAAATTTTATCATAGTTTTGATCAATTGGTAACTGGACTTCGTGACGTCCAATTCTGGCTGTCTGTAATCATACTCGTGATTAACAAAGCGGGCTCCCGCTCCCTCCTATGATTACAGACTGGACTGGACTCCGCTCGGTTCTATTACCATTATTAATCGAATCAGGAGTAGTTAACTTAAAAATCATTAAAATTGGTTAAAATGGAAACAAATCGAAACAAAGAAATCCAAAATGGAAAAGGGGAAAAACGGAGTCTGTGCGAAGTTCAGTAATTATTTTCAATTTGTGTGAATGCTTCCTTTGATTTTAGTTTTAAATCTTTACTTCTGACAATTTGCCAGCCTTGAAGAGAAATTACAGGGCCTCGGTAAGTTACCTTTCCAGTAGTAAGGGTAATTTTAAGATGACAGTGACCATCCACGTGAGATTTTGAAGAACGTCCTTTAAGCTTGAACCACTCGTCAATGCCAGCGGCTGGAATTTCCTGAAAGAGATTGTACCCAATGCTTATGAGCTGCAAATCCAATATTGGACGAAAAAAACGCGTTAAAAAATCATCTACCACAGACAGTTCACATTAAAATAACTGAACTTTGAACTGAACAATGATTTAACAAGTCGATACAATAGACAACTATTTTAAAACATTTACTGCGCGTACTTGCAGGGTGGTAATGGCTGTAGGGAATTTGAGCAGTTAAAAAATGCGACCTGAGTGCTGGAAACAAATCTTAACTTTGTCCAACTTGACGATTTTGAAAGGTAGCACATCATCAGTACTTCCAGTGTGTTCAAAATAAGATACATACACAAACCGACAAGAGAGCAGGTAATGTATATTGCTGTATTTGTATATATTACAAAGCAACATAATGACCAGCTTCCACTTGGCTTGTTAGCTCAGTTGGTAGAGCACTGCACCGGTATCGCAGAGTTCATGAGTTTTTGAAAGGTAACACATCATCAGTGCTTCCGGTGTGTTCAAAATAAGATACATCCACAAACCGACAAGAGAGCAGGTAATGTATATTGCTTTATTTGTATATATTACGAAGCAACATAACGACCAGCTTCTACTTGGCTTGTTAGTTCAGTTAGTAAAGCACTGCACCGGTATTGCAGAGTTCATGAGTTCAAATCCCGTGCAGGCCTGAATTCTTTTGAGGCCTTATTTAAACTACTGCTTAATTGTTCATTACTGCGAAGATCGATCTTATATTTATTTTTCAATCTGCAGTTAACACATATCATTTTCCTATATTTATAGCTAGAGAAGCAAACTTTTGTCATTAGTGAGGTCATCTATTTATCTTTCCTCTGACAGATCATAAGTGAGAACCAATCACAGCGTCAAAGTTTGTGTAATTCAACTTATTATATGTAAGACTGCAGGGGGATGTATTCCTCTTTTTCTATCAGTTACCACTGCCGCGATGTTCTCTCTATTTTTCTTTCTTGCAGCTCTCTATTCCTTATCCGCTGTCTAATTATACATAAATATTGTTAAAATAGTAATAATGAAAATAGTTTGGATTGGACTGATTTGTACCTTAATTGGTATTTCAATGTATCCGAGGAAATCATCAGTATTGCCACCCTCTCCTGATTTTCGAGCTGACTGCATGACATCTTTGAAAAACCTATCAACAGATGAGATGAATAACTGTAAAGTGTCACATAATGTCGCAATTCCCAAGAGTATATGAAGAAATTTAGGACGTGCAATTGACTCGCTAACCTTAAGACTCACTACACACAGCCTGCTAGTAAACAATATAAGACTCTTTCTACACAATTCTTAGTTACATTTCCTGTTTCTAGTGTCTGAAAATGTAACCAGTATGCATTGTAAAGAAAAAAATCATTGAGGTAAAGAGAGATGTTGCAGTACCCATATTCACACTTTCTAAGAAACATTTCCTTCAACAATTAAATATCTCCTGAAGAAATTAGAAAATGCCCAGAAAAAAAACCTTTTTACAATCGTTCAATTTTTTAAATCTTTCCCTAAGTCTGAAGAGCAGGTGTCCACACTTATTCAAGAATTTGTTAATCAGTTTCATGTGTGTAGCCACATTAACATGTGGCAGAGTGCACTACGTTCAATGAGAAATAAATGGGAAATCGCCAAATGGCCAAGCTATTACTAGCATCTTTGACTGCAAAACTGTTAGATTTGATTGTTTCAACCCACAAGTAAAATTTAAACTTAGATTTCTGAAAGAAAGTTGAACAGAGGGTAAGAAAAAGACTCTAGTGTTCATATTTCACCTTCCCATTCCAGAGATCCCTCTTATTTTTGAAAGTTTTCGGTCTTCTTCCTTAAGTAATGCCTTGTCATCACAGTCCCTGAAATCGAGAGTGACATAATTCGATGAGTGCAATACGGTTTTTTAAAACCAAAGACTCCTAATGTGAGATTTGCATCCCAAATGGTTCTTGGTGGCTAAGAACTCGAGACCCCCGTGATCCATATCAGACCAAAAAACACTTGCATGCAAAGACTTTAGAAATAGAGAAGCCTTGACTGTGCTCTGTTCTGCTATAAAGCACGCAGGAAGCGGCTAGAGCACGAAAGAAGTGTAGGGAGAGACACGAGACGTAGTCGGGAACTTCAGCCGAATTATGGCTCATAAAAACACGCGAGTTTTTCACATGACAAGGTAGAAAACAAACTGTTCAAGGCGAGTGTTTTTTGAATGAACGACAGCCGAATTCACCGGAACATGAAGATCGCTCGGAATGACAGCGCCTCAAAACTCGGCTGCATTGACTGAAGTGACTTTCCACAACGCATCGGAAAGGATATCAGAGCAAGCTCTTATTTTTTCACTCGAAGGGCA